CCAATGTTGCAATCATATGGTTTCCATTCAAGATGAAGTTGTCTTCTTCAACCCCAAGATTAGAAGTAAGATATAATGAAGATTTCTTTCCAAGGAGAGCTGAAATTTTAAACAAGAAACTAATAGGGTCAACTAAGGTTGAACTACAGGTTGTTGTTAAGCATCTCGACATGATATGGTCCAAGTTGCATTATTCGAGATATGATTTAAATGTGGGGACATGAAAGGAATTGAATAAATTTCCTTATGATGTGTTTCAAGAGTTAAATTAGAACATTATGATTTAAATGGGGACATGAAAGGAATTGAATAAATTCCTTATGATGTGTTTCAAGAGTTAAATTAGAACATACTCTACTCTCCTAATTAATCCCTGCTGAGTCAGGCATATCTACATCTACACTCTTCAAAGATGATAGATTCTCTTTTTAAAGATGATAGATTCTCTTTTCAAAAACAAAAGCTTTATGGGATTTATACACAAGTCCAAGCAAATAAAGTTAGTTTAATCCAAGACAAAATGGGGCATCAGGGTCATAATTTTGACTACAGCAAGAGTTCCACAAATGAAACATTTCTTCTGAGACTTTCATGAAGCAAAGAAGATGCCAAGATACAAGTTAATCAGAAGATTCTGCAGAAATGCAAGCTTGATAGCATAAGTTTCTACACTAATATCCAGAGATAACCCTGGCAATAAATGATGAAGTAAAGGAAGATCAAGTTCACCACTTTGAAGTCAAATGAAGATTGCATCAACATTCATGCATTCATAAGAATATCATTTACACAATAGACAATGCATTACATTGATACATCTGAGTGCATTCAAACATGAAGTTTTACAGATCTTCGGAAGAACAAGAAGATTCATGGTAAAAAATACCTTACAAGAAGAAGGTATTCAAAACCAAAAATACAGGAAATCACGCAAACATCTGAAGAAGATATGGACATAATCCACAAGAATGAGCATTATCTTGAGATTGGGGCATGTTACCAAATCAACATGTTATTTCAAAAACATAATGAGAAAACGATTTCCATAATTTCTCATTTTATCTTTTCTAAAATGAAATTGTTGAAAAGTAAGAAAACGATTTCCTTAGTTTTTTACTTAGTAAACTATTTCCCACATCTGTAAGTCCTTCAGTGCATGATGTTTTCCAAAAAGCCTTCGGGAGCTTTTTGATGTTTTCAAAGCCTTAGGGTCATCTGTAAGTCCTTCAGTGCATGATGTTTCCAAAAAGCCTTCGGGATCTTTTTGATGTTTTCAAAGCCTTAGGGTCATCTGTAAGTCCTTCAGTGCATGTTTCCAAAAAGCCTTCGGGATCTTTTTGATGTTTTCAAAGCCTTAGGGTCATCTGTAAGTCCTTCAGTGCATGATGTTTCCAAAAAGCCTTCGGGAGCTTTTTGATGTTTTCAAAGCCTTAGGGTCATCTGTAAGTCCTTCAGTGCATGATGTTTCCAAAAAGCCTTCGGGAGCTTTTTGATGTTTTCAAAGCCTTAGGGTCATCTGTAAGTCCTTCAGTGCATGATGTTTCCAAAAAGCCTTCGGGAGCTTTTTGATGTTTTCAAAGCCTTAGGGTCATTTGTAAGTCCTTCAGTGCATGATGTTTCCAAAAAGCCTTCGGGAGCTTTTTGATGTTTTCAAAGCCTTAGGGTCATCTGTAAGTCCTTCAGTGCATGATATTTCCAAAAAGCCTTCGGATCTTTTGATGTTTTCAAAGCCTTAGGGTCATCTGTAAGTCCTTCAGTGCATGATGTTTCCAAAAAGCCTTCGGGAGCTTTTTGATGTTTTCAAAGCCTTAGGGTCATCTTTAAGTCCTGCAGTGCATGATGTTTCCAAAAAGCTTTCGGGAGCTTTTTGATGTTTTCAAAACCTTGGGGTCATCTGTAAGTCATGCAGTGCATGATGTTTTTAAGACCTCTGGAATGATGTTTTCAACATTTCAGTCTTACTCAAAAAAAGAAAAATGAAAAAAATTATTGTTTTTCCGTCTTTGCTCTATTCTTGTTAACACAAGAATAAGCAAAGAGGGGCAGCTGTAAACACTAATTTTTTTTCATTTTTGTTTTTATTATTATTATTAAAATTAAAATTATTATTATTTATATTAAATTATATTATATTATAATTATTATTTACAAACAGTTACAAACAAAACTGGACCGGCCCAGTTACAAACAAACCAGAACCGGCCCAGACCAACCAGAAACCCTAAACATTTGGGGTTTCAGCTAGGGTTTCTAAACCCTAACCCCCAGCCGCCTCCAAGATTCCAGAAGGCCAGCCACCGCCTCTGCTCAGCCGCCACTTCCACGTTGACGCTTCAGCTGCTGCCACACCGCCGTCAGTGCCACGCCACCCCCTCGAAGCCTCCAGAAGCGCCTCGTCACCACCCAAGTTGCTGCTCTAGGGGTGAGTCACCACATAGTTCGGTGACTCACCGAACTCGACTTTATACCCGGTCCGACGAAAGCCTCATCGAGGCTATAAAGCCACCACCTGCAAGAAAGAGAAGAAAGGAGAGAAAACAGAAGAAAAAAAAACAGAGAGGAAGGAACCGAAGAGAGACACAAATACAACCCAGCAACAACCAAAACAAAAAAAAAATTAGAAACCAAGAAATAAGGGAAAGCTTACCGAGGAAGCCACCGGTGATCGAAGACGCTACGGGCCGACCAAACTATTTGAAATACCCGAAGGTATTTCTTCAGATCTACTCCGATCGAAAGTTTTTTAGGGGAAACTAACGCCGGATTTGGCCTAATAGGGTTTAGGAGGTTATTTGGGGGTATTTAGGAAAAATCCGGACACCGCGTGTGGTGGCCGGTGGTGGTGGCCGATGCCGGAGTGCGACTGCCGGCCGGGCTCTCTCTCAGCTTTAGAGAGAAGCGAGAGAATTTAAATTCTCTCATTTTAGAGAGAAGCTGAGAAAGAAGCAAATGAGGAAGCCTGGCCCTTCGGGCCAGAATTTAAATTCTCTCATTTTAGAGAGAAGCTGAGAAAGAAGCAAATGAGGAAGCCTGGCCCTTCGGGCCAGGCGTTTAGGGTATTTAAAACCCTCCCCAAACGACGTCGTTTTGGGGAGGGTATCTGTGTAATTTAAGAAAGGGTAAACCCTTTCCGCAACCCTTATAGTTCTGTAACTTTGCAATTTAGTCACTGAAATTAACTTTTAATCATTTTAATTTAGTGTTTAAATTTTATTTTATTATATTTTAACCATTAACTGTATTTAAATCTTTAGGATAAATAATAAATTTAGTCCCTTAGGTTTTAATAATTATTATTTAGTCATTAAATTAATAAATGCGTAAAATAGCATGTTTAGCCATTGCAATATTAAAAATTAATTACGAATTAGAGTATTTAATTTCAATATGTTATAATTTAGTCACTAATTTTAATACTTTATTTAATTACAAGTTTATTACTTTTTATATATTTAGTTTAATTTTATTTTATTTTTTAATATATTTAATTTATATATATTTTAATTAGTATTATATTTTATTTTAATATATACTTATTTGATTAATTTAGAAATTAATAATGTTTATTGTTTTTAATATCGAAGAAAAGGACAGTCTTGATATAACTGGATGTCCTATTCTGGTATTTTAAATAATTAAATATATATTTAATTTTTTCTTAAATTATTTTACTTTTAAATTTTTACATTTTTAGTTATTTATTTTCATGTCAAAAGAAAAGAACTGTCTTAAGGTACCTAGAAGTTCTTTCTGATATTTCTAAATAAGTATATATTATTTATATTAAATTATCTGAAATAATAATTATAAATTAAATATATTTGAATTTTTTAAATTTTAATAATAGAGACAATTTAATTAAAAAGTACCAATTTTGGGCGTTGTAGGGGTGCTAATCCTTCCCTAAACTAACCGACCACGAATCCCTTTTTATTATTAAAAAGAATGAATTTTTGGTTTATAACGCAGATCAGTTTATTTTTTATTTGATTTTTCTTAAAACTCTTTTAAAAAAAATAATTTTTAGGTATTCGACCTACCTGACCCAAAAGGCCGATGGCGACTCCCAAATCATTTATTCCCATTATTTTCCCGCCGAGTATTTAAAATTCGTGCCCGGACGAAAACCGGTTACGACAAAGGGGAAATTTAAATTTTACTTGGATCACAGATTTAAGTCAAACAAAACTAGTAGGATGATCCATCGACCAACCATTCATATTAATTAACCAATAATCGTTTTATTTGAATTTTCTTCGTTATAAGAAACTTGCCACATTTCCCAAATTCATAAAATACTCAACAACCAAGTATAATTAGGTGAGACAAAGCTGACCGAAGATAACAAAAAATAAATCATTTGTTTATTCCATGATTTCCTTTAAAATTTCTCTGTCAGGACATATTCTAAAAATTTTAACCTAATGATAAAAATTACTCAAACTCAAATACCATTTCACTTGTTCTTCAATTAATGTAGTTAAAACTAGAGTTAAGTAAGGAGATCGAGAAAATTAATTTTTTTATTGTATTACGTGGTTTAGTTCAGTTCAGATTTTAATTATGGTTCGATTTCGATTTCATTTTTAAAAAAATTGCATAGTATAATTTGATTCATCTTTTAATAAAAAAACCGAATTGAACCAAACTAAATACGCACCTAACTAAAACACGCCGCCAATTCCTATCCCGGGCTGTTTTCACCGTGGATAAAAATTTTAATTTACGAAGATTGCGGTATGAAATAAGATATCTATTAACATGAGCTCTATTAATTAGTCAAGTGAGTAAGAATACATATATTGTCTCATCTTATATAAATTTAAATTTCGACATTTATTTTAAAAATGTTATACCTCTCTACTTAATAAAAAACGTAACAAGTGCTCTTAACAAATTGGTGTGAAACCTGAATGAACAAACGCCTCTACAATTCTTTAATCACAATGGAACCATTTATGAAAATGGTAATCAAGAAGAAGATGGAAGATAATGAATAACAAATATTTACTCATGTAAGAGCTCAAGAGCTCTTAACAAAGTGCCTTTAAACCTAGTAACATCCACCTTCACATTCTGCTTCTCCAAATATATAGACTTGAATTCATACCAGCTCCGGTCCTGTATGGCATATGGATTGTTGAAAACCTCATGATCCGGTGGATATTGTTGTATCAATGTACTCTCTTCTGTCTTAATCTTGTAGTCTAAGTACCTTAATTTCATGTCCTTGGATGGCTCTCCGAAGTCGGTTTTCGCCAGCCATTCAAACCCCCCGATCGGAACGACTTGTATCACAATCGCGTTCTCCGGCAGGAAAACCATGTTGGTCAAACCAGCTCCATGGACTCCCATCATTACGTCACAAGAATTCACCGTTTTCGCTACTCTTGTTACGTTCGAATTTGCCTCGTCGACTACTACTTCGTAGCCTAGTGATCTCGCCATTCCGGCGATGGCGTACGTGTTCATAAATGCTCGGGTTCTCTTTCTCGAAAGAATGAGGAGACGAGGTCTTTCCTTTCCATCACTGTTAGTATTATCCCTGATTTTGATGGCGTTTTCTTTTGATAATGAATAAGCACTTCTCAAGAACTGCCTGAATTCTTTCATGGAATAAGATGATTTCATAGGATCAATGTTCAGCTCTTTAGGGTAACGCTTAAGGCCAACGATCACACTTGTGAAACAATGAACGACGACTTCTTTATCGATGTCGATCAACTCGTATCGAGAAAGGTTCCGTAATACATGTCGGAACTTATCGGTCCACCATGGATTATTGTCAGTGACGAGAAACTTTACTTCTCCATCGAATTGTTTTGAAGTTAAAATTAGAGGAAGAACGATGTCTGTGTAGTCATGGAAATTGTTCCCTGCATATCCTCCTAGCGAGAACATGATGCCCGGAACACTGTGGTTTTTACCGCATTGAAGTCCGGCATCCGCCCCTGCTTTTATCGACCATTTCGTAACACGAATCAATGCCGCTTCGTCTCCTCTTCGAGCATAAGGACTGATCTTCCACGAGCTGTTTGAAGAACCAGATGTCATGAAAACTGTAGAGGATTTTCCGTCAACCCTTATATCTCCATTCGTCTCACAATATTCTGTTCTTTCCTCCACATGGCAAATTGGCTTCACTAATGGGGTCTTAGAGTTAGACCTGCTGATGGTGTCCTTGGTGCTGCTTGTCTCACTTTCCACCACCATCTCGATCTCGAAACTGTTGGATTCATTCGCAATCATTCCCATCGAACTGCTCGTATCATGGGCCCTCGGATTATCGGAGTCCGATGCTGTCGTTATCCTTAACATCTTGACACCAGCATCTGCATCCACTGAATACTAGATCAACTAAATACAGTAAAACGACTACATACTTAACACAGAAAAAATAACGAAAGGGGTACTTACGACGAGGTAGAGGGCCCAAACCAGGCTTGAAGACGATACAGAAGCTCAATGCAATAAGAAAACAACCAAGAAATGCTCCATATCCTAACTTCTTTTGGTCATATCGGCTAAAGCTTCTAGCAAAAATGGTATCATACATAATTTTCTCACCCATTTTTTCCCACATTCAAGAAATTACATGCATTCAACTTAAATGTATGCAATTAAAGTGTCGTTTTATATATGATAATGGAAGGAAAGGAAGACTGGAGGTTCCAACTTGGAAAGCTGAAACGCTTTCCCTGAAGAAGCCGGAGACGTTTCAACAGACGAGGGAATCCAGTGGGGTTTTGGGATACAATATATTCTCATGTAGGACAATTGGAGGACGTTGGGGAGCCTTTTTCTTTTGAATCATTGCCGCCCACTATTTTTTTTATAGCTAATATTCTGCGTTTTCTGAACTGAGAGATGTGATCCGGGATGAAAGTAGAATTTTAAAATATTTTGTGTTTAGTACGAATAAAACGATCTCGATATGATAAAATGGTTTTTCAAATTTTAACTTTGAGTATTATAAATATCAAAAAGTAGAAATCTTCAATATTAAATAGTCGAGAGTTGTCTTTAACATATATAATGATAACGAATACAAAAAAATCTAAATTAAAAGTTAAAATTTTCAGAAGAATCATCCGGTGATCCCTCGGTTCATTGCTGGTTGGACAAGGACTTGGTGGTTGACTGCTGGGATAAACACTGGATACAAATATTTCTGGATTTCCCATTTTTCAATGGTAGAGTGACTTGCCGGCTTTGGAATCCATCTTTGATAGGTATCAACAAACTAAAATCCAGTTATATAAAATAATTTTTTCTACTTAAAATGTCTACATGGTGAATTATTTATATTTTTTATTGTTTCTTTAAGTTATATATGAATTTGAAATATATATTATAAATATGTATATTTAGATTCAAATAACTATATTTACAGAGTATATGTACGATATCAATGTAATATAAAAAATCTTTTATATATTTATAAAGCAAGCCATATTCTAAAGATATAAAAATAGTTATAAATGTTGAGATATGTACCTCATTAAATATTATTTCTAAGAATGATTATATAAATTAATGGAATCCTAATAAGTTTAAATGAAATGAATGTTTTAGGGTAGGAGAGTTATAATGTAATTAGAGGGCGCATCTAAGCAGGTTGTGGTGTGAAGAATAAGACATGTTAACAATCCTTGTCTGCTTAGTCGTGGTGGGATGCATGTTGGGTTTTATTTTATACAACATAAATATAGATTGCTGTCTCTTTTTGAAGAATACACGCGTTCCATTAATATAAATAATATAACAAAATAGTAATAGTTTGCTCGGAGTTTTCCAAGACAATAATAGAAAATCAAAAGTTGTTAAGAGACTGTTTTCATAATAATTGATGCAACAACCCTTTGATTTACATATACTATACCCCCCTAATTCAAAAACATGTTATTAATTAACATTTTATGATAGTTGTTGATTTTTTTATTTCTTATTTTTCTTTTTAAAATTTTTAAAATTTATTTTTTCTATGACAATGATATTAGTTTTAAATTAATTATTTTACCCTTTTTTTTACTTCTTTCATTTTTTTTAAATGGTAAATGATATTAGTTTTTTTCTTTTGAGATTGAACTTAACGTCGACTCTCCAGATCTTGATGATGTTTATTTGATTACTTTATTGATATATTAATGCTTTAGTCCGTAGGTTAGATATTAATAAATGTTTGCAATCACTAAAAATAGTTGTAATTGAGTAGTGACAATTTCAATTTATCAACAAACTTTTATTGGTATATGCATTTTATGTTAGTATCGATGATGTTATTTTTCACCATAGATAGTGTTTGTATTTATCATTTGTCTAAATTATTTGACTAAGTTTTGACATTTTCCTTGTGTGGTTATTTTCTTATTCTTAAGCGGTTAGTTTAATCGCTTAAATGTTTTTCGAAAAAAATATGATTTATGGATTAATGTAATTTAAATTTTTAATTTAATTTTAAATATTTCATTTTTATTTGATAAAATTGACCCTATTGTTAATTTTAAATATAACCATGATGATTTGGCTTTGATTCAATAAAAATAGTTGTATTCGTTAATTAAATTGAAAAGAAAATTTCCTTTATATTCAAAGAAAAAAAACTATAATTTATGAAACTTCTGAAAAACTCACACATAGTGGTGTGATAAAAAATAATTTGTTGATATATTTATTCAATTTAAAAAATAATGTATTTGATTTATTTTTTATTTTTGAATAATTTAGACCGAATATCCAAGGAATAAAGTGAATAATTGGATATGAATTGTCTAAATTATAATATTGAATTATCTGAAAATTCAATGAAAATTAGACCTTTAAAGTTTAGACAACCTTTAGCCCAATAAGTAACACACTAGCCCACTAAGGTTCTAACCCCAAAAAATTATGATGTTTTGTTGTTTATTGTGCATGAATAATTAAATAAATATAGAATATAATAGAGGTATAGAATATGTTGCATAAAATCATAAAATATAGTAAAAAATGTGTGGATACTAGAGTTACATATCTTTTTCGGTCTCCCAAGTTGCCTTTTCGTCCTCTATAAGACCTTCTCTAAAGGAATTCACTTGTTTCTCAACTCCTTGACCTCTCAATCCAAAATCCTCATCAGTTCCTCTTCATAAGTCATATCTTGACTTACTTTGATTTTCTCTAACGGGATGACATGGGAAGGATCAGAAGGATACATTCTATGCATTGACACATGGAATACATTGTGAATGCACTTCATCTCTGGCGGTAAGGTTGTTCAATAGGCTACGGGTTCAATTCTTTCCAAGATCTCATAAGGTCCTATAAAGCGTAGAGTCAGCTTTCCTTTACACCCAAATCTAAATACTCGCTTCCAAGGCGACACCTTTAGGAAAACTTTATCGTCCACCCCGATCTCTATATCTTCACGCTTCAAGCTTGGGAACGATATTTTTCGATCAAAAGCTTCCTTCAAGAGAATATGAATTAATCAAACTTTCTCTTCATCCTCCCTGATTAGGTCAGGTCCCACTAATTTACTTTCGTTGAACTCTGTCCAACATAAAGGTGTCCTACATTTTCTCCAATACAAGGCTTCATATGGAGCTATCTGAATGCTTAACTGGTAGTTGTTGCCGTAGGCGTACTAAACAAATAGAAGGTGATTTTCCCAACTACCCTCGAGGTCTATCACGCAACATCTAAGTATATATTCCAAAATCTGAATCACCTACTCGGACTAGCCATCAGTTTGCGTGTGGAAGGGGATAATAAACTACAATCAGGTACCTAATTCCTCATGAAGTGCTTTCCAAAATTTTGATGTGAACCACATATCTGATTGGATATAATCAATGTCGGTACACCGTGTAATTTCACTATATCCTGAACGTACACCGAAGCCAACCTCTCTAGGGTGAAATTCATGCAAACCGGCAAGAAATGAGTGGACTTGGCCAATCTATTAACCACTACTGTAACACCTTAATATGACACGACACATTGTCGACCGATTAGAACGTCACACGAGATCACCATAGCAGCAAACCAAGAATTTTCCTTTTAAAATTTTCCATAATATAATAATAACAACCATTTCAAAACATGAAACCAAACAAAAATGATAGTAGTTTACAATGTTAGGCAGCTTCCAAAATAAATGTATCAAATAAAATAGTCAAGTATTTAAAACAGTTATGACTTAAGTATAAAAGGTCTATGAATAATACATGCCCCCTAAACAAAAGACTCAAGACATACTGTAAGCTTTCTTGGCTGTCTGAAATATCTGCAACACGATCGGCCCCTCAAATGCTTCACCTGAAGACCTACGAACAGAAACACAATTCCAAACGCTGCGCTCACCATACTAACAACAATGCCATACTAAAAGTGTTCATAAATTCTCGTGATAGCATAAAAGATAACCGATAAAGTATGCATGCATACTCACACTATGCTATGATAGACATCATGGTACGATTGAGGGATTATTGTATCTCGAAGCTCACATACACCTCTATTCAATAGGGGATATAAGCCCAGAATTTCTTCATTGGATTCGACACCTAACTAACTTGCCCCTTGTGAGTGTTGAGGCCTTGTGCCATAGTTAGTCTTAAGTTCCTTGCACACTACCTAAGGATATCAGGACAATCTATACTTTGTAACTAACATATCTACTAAAGTAACTCAGGTGTCCTTTATGTTTTCCCGAGCGTCAAACAAGGTTAGCATTATGTTATCCTAATTAATGTTGCTTCTTGTTGTACTTTGTTCATAATTAACGGTTCTCACTTGTAGTCTTATTCGAGTATATATATATATATAGCGTTCTTGGCTCCCTCACATCAAAATCCCTTAAAATTTAGGCTATTTGCCCCAAATTCTTATTGTTGGTATCGATACTGGTCCTCTAGTATCGATAGTCCTACTTTACTATCAAAACCCTATGTGAGTATCGATACCAAAAATGCTCACTAAAATATCGATCTCAATATCAAGCCTAGGGGTCTCGAGACCGTGACCTCAATATTGATACCCTATGAAGGAGTATCGTTACTCCTGCCTTGAAAACCCCTTTTCTTTCAAGAACTGAAGGGCAATATCGATAATGTTCTTCTAGTACCAATACTCAGGCCCAAAAATACCTTATTTAGGCATTAAAATGGCTCTTTGACTACTCTAACAACCCTATTATGGTTCTCAAGTATTATTAAAGTCTAATATGAGTCACAATGATCATAAAGAAGGCTTGAAATCATACTAAAACATCAAAATGTGTAATCTACCATAAACATTCATGCAAGCTTAACCATTCCACTTAAAAGTTAGAGATGTATTTCTATTAACCACTAATGGTATATAAGAGTTATAAATGTGTTACCTTAGTTCCTAGCTGTTAGAAACTCTCTAGTTTGCGAGCACTCACCAACTTCTTTCTCTAAACATGTCAAGAAAAATGAATTACAAACTCATTTAAAAGATTGGGTTTGAATTAAGGATACTTCCTACAAATCAAATCCCTTAAAAACAAGCTAGAGAACCCTTGAACTCTTAAACCCCTCTAAACCCCATTTTATGAAACTATGA